TGGTCTGTACAACAGGGGATGAAGCAGACAGATGGGGCCACATTCAACAGCAGAATCTTCCAGATCTAGTAGTAATGCGGCCTGGACGTTGTCTATGTTCTCTGTTTGGCAGAGAAAAGGGACTGTGAGTCTTCTGCCTCAACCTATGGGCTACTGTGCCCCTCTCACCTCCTAAAGGCTAGGAGAGGGGATGGGCTGTGATGGTTAAGGGAAAGAAGGAACGGGTATGGCAGAGGAGAAGTCAATCTTTGGATCTTCTCGTAGAATAAATAAACCTGCTTTCTTCTAAAAATAGCAATTTTAAATAAGAATGTTTAAAAGATGGGCTAGAAAGACACCTTAGGGCTTAAGAGCACTGGCTCACTGGCTGCTTTCATAACAGACCCAGGCTCCATCTCCAGCACCCACATGGCAGCTCATGGGCATCTGCGACTCCAGTTCCACGGGGTCCAGTGCCCTCTTCTGTAGTCCTCGGGCGCTGCGTGTGTGTGGCACACGCAAAATACTCATACACATAGCATTATTAATAGAAAAGTAAAGTGTTTAGCAGACTGCAAAGCCAAGGGGCTGTGGGAATAGAACAAGTTCACTCCTAAAAACCCGCATTAGCAGAGGCCAGATGGACTCTGTATGATCTGAAGGACAAGAGTGTCTGCGGGCCAGGGGCCAATGTTAGTGACACTAGTGGAAAAACAAAATCTCAGTGAGGAGAACACACAGCTGGTCCTTATGTGGTCTGTGGCCCAGAGCAGGTGTCAATATATCCTCAATATATTTGGATGGATGGACAGATGGATACGTGGGCCAAAGTCAAAATCCTTTAGTTACAGTGAAGACTACCCCTAGAAAACTGACCTCCTGCACCCTGGTCTCTGGGAACTAGCCTGCACGCATCATGCTGAATGCCTCATCAGCTACTTCTCAGCCTTCACAACCAGCCCCACCAATCCCACCTCCTACAACTCTGACTCTATCTGAGCATCATGTCGCTTCCATGGTTCAGGCCTTGGGCAATTCTTTTCTGGATGCCTGCACCACATCCAAACTGTTCTCCAAGCCTCCAATCTGCATTTGTGAAGTGCTTCTCGAGCAAGCATGAGGGCCTAAGTCCAGATCCCCAGCTCCTACACAAGGGAGCAGAGACTGGCTGATGCCTGGAGCTTTCTGGGCAGTCAGTCTGGCCAAAGCAGTGACCTCTAGATTCAGTGGGAGGCCCTGTCTCAAGACATAGGTGGAGAACAATGGAAGAAGACTCCTGACATCACTTTCTGACCTCCACACATATACTTACTGCACACACACACACATGCACACACTCACACAAACACATACACAAACCAAACACACTCCAGAGCCCTTACAAAGGATCAGGTCATTAATGTCATCATCCTGCCCTCATTCCCGCCCAGGGATGGCCTGTGACTCCCTAGAGGCCTCATGGTCAAGCCCAAACACTGGCATGTCCAACCTGCCTCTCCAGCTATGGCTAGCCAGCACCCTGCCCCACCTCTACTTGAGTTCTCTGTCCCCTTGGCACTTGCCCTGACCCATTTCCTGGGGTTGTGGTTTGGATGTGGCTTAGTTCCAGGCTGAGAGGAAGCAGGGGCTTTAAGGGACCCTTAGATCATAAGGGACCTGCCGTCATGAAGGATCAGGGGAGCTTACTCAAGAACGAGTTCGTTTCTGTGAGAGGTTGTTACAGAACGAGTGAAGTTCCTCAATTTGCTTTTGCTTCCTCTCTCCACACACACACCTGCTTCTCCTTTTCGCTTCTTTGCCACGCGATGATACAGTGCAAGGCCTTGTTGAGCCAGTGCCTTGTTCTTGGACCTCCAGCTAAATAAACCTCTTTTCTTTTTAAGCTGACCAACTCTAGGAGTTTTGTTATAGCAATGGAAATGAGATGAAGACTCCCGGGCCTCCTCCTCTGCCTGGAGTATTTGCCCTTTATTTTCTCTTCTCCCTTACATTCTTCTGAGCCCATTAGGAACATCATCCTACCCTAAAGACACTTTCCCTGACTGTTTCTCAGCCCATTAAGAACCGAATGCCCTTCCTTCTGTATACCCCAGTGCTTAGCCCATCACAAAACAGCCTGCTTCCCTACCCTCTATATTCTGTTCTTTGTTGTCTGCCACATGCTCCTCTCCAGTCTGTGACAAAATGAATGCGTGCTGCGTTAATATTTTTTTTTATTTTTCATTGTGTTTATTTGTAGAAGTGGATGCACACGCACTATGGTGCATGTATAAAAGTCAGAGAACAACTTTTACAACAGCATGTGGGTTCCTGGGATTGAACTTGGGTCATCGAGCTTGGTGGCAAGCGCCCTTGCCCACTGATCCCTGGCTCCAACCCCTTATAAATATTTTGTTCCACATCAAACATGTGGCTCAGCTTCTCAGAAGCATATTTGTCGTCTTTGACCAACCACATGACCAGTCCAGAGAATTAACTCAGGATTAGGGTGTGGTCTATGACTCTTGAAAAAAAAATGTATTAAATTAGATATGAGGGGAACAAATTTTTAGCCAAAAGTCAAAACACATGATCTAACAAATATGACTGCGTATTTTCCTCCCCAGCACATATAAATGCATAAAGCCTACAGCTACCCAGCCAGGAAGGTCTGTCATTTTCGCCTTACTCTGTTGTCCACATACACCAGGGGACGCCTGTAAAAGAACAGCGGCTAAGAGTGAGGGGCATCTTCTCATTCAGTCCTCTCCATCTTCCTGAGAAGCAGATCTTTCTCCTTCGCTGTTTTACAGCAGAGGAGAGTGAGATTTAAAAAGATTAAACATCCTGTCAAAGGTCACACAGCCCTCCGTGGTCGGGTAATCCAGTCGGTCCCATTACTCTGCAGTACTGGCCTAGTCGCGACCTCTTAACCTTGTTAGACCATCAAAAGAGCCACTTTGGGGCAAAAATAGCCATGGCTTCCGGAAATTTTTATTAAAACTCTAAATCTCCAGGCAATAACTTTCAGAAGTCATGATTCAGACCCGCAGTGACGCTAGGCAACAGGCTCGCAGGCCGAGTCTCCTGCTGCAGAGCCGCTAGGAATGCCAGGAGGGAACGCAGGACCCTGGAGTTTGGCACCACCTGCGTTTCCCGTCACTGGGTCTCCAGCCGCCACTGCCTGTGGAAAGGCGCTGTCCTCCCGCTCCTCTGAGGAGTCCTCTCCTTCGGGTTCCATAGTTCCATAGTTGTCCACGGTTTTACAGCTTCTGCTGCACTGGCCCTGTCCACCGGCCATAAGTATAATGATCATCTGGACACCCATCAAAGTCCAAGCTCCTGGACTCTGCTCCACAGCTGTCAGAGTCTACAAATCAAATGCTGACCCCAGCCTTTCAACCAGCTCCCCCGGGAATTCTGAAGGATGCTGACACCCGAGAACTGGAGGTGGAGCCCCAGTCCTGGAACCAGCAGCATCAACGGCATGTTAGAGACTGGCAAGTCAGGGACTCCACCATGAATGACTAACCCAGAACCTTCATCTGAACGAGATCCCTGGGAGAGATACAACATACACACGCTTCTGTGCAGAGGAACGGTCATGTGGGACAGTGCTCCGTCCTCCAGTTTTCCCCGTCTAGCTTGCATAGGAAATGAAAATGCTTCCGTGACCCAGTGGAGGCGCAGGTGAGGATGCCTGCTGGGACGCAGGGCTCAGCCTGCCCCAGACCTCACGGGCTACCTGAGGATTGAAAAGGTAATGGCTCAACACAGCCCGCCATGAGCACTGGCCTACAGCACTCCCGACGCTTCTCAGGGTTTTTATGAAGTCCCGTGACCTACACTTTCCCCAACCTGTCATTTATTCTCACACAGATCAAGAGTCAGACAGGCTAATGCCCAACAAACTAGAGCTTAGAAGTCTTCATTGGGTAGAAAAATGCAGCCTTGTGTTCCACTGCTAGGTGAACTACTGGAGAACCGCAGAAAGCATGGTTGGTGGGCAGATGAGTCAGCCACTATGCCCTGGAAGAAACTAGAGCCTCTCTCCTCTGAAGAACACTCTTTCTCCCCCTTCGACAGAGCTCGGGATTAGTGACAGTCGAGGAGGCTTCCTCTGTCTTGAGTGCCAAGAAGAATGTCATTTTGTTTAATCCTTTCTTAGCAAAATCTGTCTGCCTGTAAGCTGGACAGGTGTTCCCTCTCTCAGCCAGCCCGTTAATGGGATGACAGTTGGGGTGGAAGAAATAGGGTCCCAAAGGGATACTTCCTGAGGAGACCGTCTCAGCAAACCACAGAGTATCGGGGACCCCACCTGACTCTGAAGGGTCCGATTCATAAGCACCCAAGTGATTTTTATCCCTCTCCATCCCCTGCAGAAAACGTTGAAACTTTGTAAAGCTCAGATTGTCAAGCAAATCCTCTCTAAAGAAGAGCTGAGCAGCCTATGCAAATACACCTGGGAAGACAGTGGCCATGGCTCCCGAACAACCCATCTTTATTCCTTCTCTTTCTATATCTGCACCAGTTCTGCCACTCTGCTTCCCCCAAACAGAAAATGGACAGAGCCCCATGGACGGGGTCTGATTTGGTCCAGAGCTTCCCCCGTCTATCTGAAGACTGCATATCTCCTAAGTCCTAAAAGGCTGTGTGGCCTCTGCTCTCTGCATTGATGTTTAAACAACAGTAAGCAGGGCATGCTGTCATTTGCTCCCTCCAGCTGACTTTCTCCCACAAGGCTCCCTGATGCAGCTCCAGAGGAGAGCATGCCTTTCCCGCTCTAAACAGGAAGCTCGGGGTACAATTAGCATTTCACCCAGAGTCCATGATGCCTAAGACAAGAGCAGATTTCTTCAGTTTCTGGCAAAAACATGTTGATAAATTTTCTATTCCTTAATAATCCAATCGACAAGTGTTGCAACGTAAGATTAGAGAATTTGGGGGCTCGGGCCACATGGGCCAATGAGCAGAGCTATTTTCTCGGGACCAATTCAAGTGCAGACTATTGACTAAAAATGTCTCTCTGCTTCATGATCCAGGATGAAGAACAAGCTGTGGTATTTTGAATTTGGCACCTCGGAGACCTTTGCAGCCACCTGCAAGAAGCTTCATGACCACATAGAGCTGGAGGTAAGTCCAGTCTCCTTCACAGAGACTGCCCTGTCCCGAGATGTCTCCACAACCTCACTTAGAGGGCTCCAGTTGTTGCTGACTTCCTTCTCACCCTGTGCAAGTGAATCCTTGCGGCTCTGGGATTCTGCAGTCGCAGCCATTCTGGCCATGCATTCCCACTTAAAGAGACAGGTACCACCAAACAGACAAGGGAGGAAGGCTGTTGCTGGGGTTACTGTGGCCTTGGCACAGCAAAGGTGGTGCTGCTGGGCTGAGAGCTGATCAGAGAGCATCCTCCAATTCACCTGCCCCAGAGCTGACTCACAGGGGCCCAGGGCCAGTGCGGTGGGTGTGTGGCCTGTGCCCTGCTCCTGTGATCTGAAGAGAAGCTTTTGTCACCATCTAGAAGTTCTAAATACTTTTTTTTTTTAAACAAAGAGCCGCGTGTTTTCAGTTTGAACTGAGTTCCACAATTACGCAGCTCATGCTGTCGGTGCGCCGCGCTTTCCCGAGGACTTTCAGCGCCTGTAGCAGCCTGCCTCAGACAGTTTGCCTGTTGGCGCCCCTTGCCTGGTTGGTGAGCTTGCCTGCTTCCTGCCCCCACTTTTGCAGTGCTGCTCTCCTGGAGTCTCCTCGTGGACTGCTAGGAGCATGCCTCTGGCCTATCAGAGACCAGATTTCTATGCAAACATCTGTCTTCACTCCCTGGGCCTCTGCCCATGGATTCCTTGCCAACAATCCCACCCTCTCTGTGCATTCAGGCCTGCAGTCTGCTTTGCACCTGAGGGGGAAAAAAAAAAAAACAGATTCAAGCAGGTGAGGAAATCTCCTATCAACCCCCGCCCCAATCCTGGAAAAAAAAAATGGGTCTAGAAGCTGCTGAGCAATGAGCCTCTGTTGAGGCCTAGCCACCCCTCCATAGGATTAAGCCTGTGGCAGAGTGGGAAGGTCCTGCCACTCCCTGCTGGAAGGGAGGCTGAGCCCATGCTCACAGGGAGTGTTCACAAACAAAGCGCACAGCCAGAGCTTCCACAAGGCTCTCCTTGACTCATCTGTGGGCCTCTCCTTTTTGGTTGCTGGGTTACTGACACCATGGGGGGAGGCACCTTTCTGCCAGTGTGGCCACAGGGCACAGAGGTCCAAAGGCCAAGAGCCTGTGTTTCCAAGTGCTACATGGCGGAGGCCACCTATACCTGGGAGAAGCTGACCTAAACACAGGGCCTGGGAGCTGGAGCTGCAGGAGCTGCAGGAGCTGCAGGAGCTGAGCGTGGCAAACAGAACTGTGTGCATTCTTCCGCTTGGCACCGCCCTCCACTGGGGTCTCTTTAAATACACTGCCAGTGAGGGACAGCCCTGCCTAACCGCGGCCAGCTGCAGACACACAGCAAGTCCTTGTTCTCCCCGCAGCTGGCCTTGACACTGTGCCCAGAATACAGCAGCTCAGCTCCCCTGCCTCTCTGGACCGCCCCACTGGCTCCAGGCTGGCCATGCCCGAAAGTTCCCTTGGGGTCCAGGACACAAGCGGCACTTCCTCAACCACACAGGGAATTGGTGGCCTCGGGAGGGAGTGAGCTGCCAGGCTGTGAACTGTTGAGAGCTTTAAGAAGCACTTCCTGTTTCCCTCATCTCTTCATAAGTCTTTTCAGCATGTATTCAGGAGAGCAAAGCTTTGGGAGTCGGGGCTAGGATGTCATGTGACAGAGGGCTGGCAGTGGATTGGGACAGGCACCATTTCTGCATCCAGAGGACAGTGTTTGAGGGTCCCGGGGGGTATGATCAGGAGGAAACTCTGAAAGACAGAGGGTAGGGCAGGTGTCTGGAGGCTCAGGAGCTTGGGGAGGAACATGTACGAGAAGCCAGGGTGGCTGCTGCCATTCACAACTGCGCAAGGCTCACCAGCTGCTGTCAGCCAACCTGGGAAGACTCCGATCGGACACTACCGCCTTCACTACTTCCTAAACCACAATAGCAGGGAGTCATCCCATGACATGGAAACGCAAGCTGAGCCTGGGAGGGTTAGGGGAGTGAAGAGAGAGTAAAGAGAGAGGAGGGGAAAGTTAAGAGGGGACAGAAAAAGTCAGCGCATCAACTGCCGGCCAGACCATGTTGGTGTAACAATACAAGCCAGGGAGACATACATTGTTACGTTCTGAAATAAGGCTCCAATGCATCCAGTAGCTCAACCAAGAGTTCTTTGCCGAAACTAGAAAGGGAAGATCCCAGGTGTTTTGGAGTAAATTGGGCTTGGAAACTAGTAACCAAATTTATCCACCAAGTGTTCAAACTCAGCAAATCCTCCAGCCTTGGCACAGTGTCTTACTGCTGCGCGTGTGCATGTACATGTGCATATATCTGTTTATGTGCATGTGGGTATATGTGTGTGCATGCATATGTATGTGTGTGCATGCATATGTATGTGCCTTTGCAAATGTGTGTATACATGTGTGTGCATGCATGTGTACAGTATGTGTGTGCATATATCTGTATGCATGTGTATGTAGCTGCATAGTGTGCATGGGGTTCTGATGCATGTTTGGATGTGCTCCTATGTGTGTTCTGGACTGTGAAACTCCGTCTCAGCTCAGGCAGCCGTACCACCCTTCTGAGGAGTGCTAGATACAGTCCAAGCACCCACCTGAGGAAAGGAGGAACAATTCAGTATAGGAAAAATCGGAACACTGTCCCAAAATTTACAACCGTCTTTCCTCACACAGCACCTCAGCTCCCCTGGCTGACAGAACACGAGTGGGCATTCATGCCTCAGTTAGCGGATGGGGAACTCTGAAGCTGAGGGCTCAGAAACCGAGAAAAGTCTCAGCCGTGAGGGCGCAGGGAGAGGCTGATCGTGACAGTGAGCAGGCTAGCGCTACTGGTGGCGAGGACCTGTCGCCACTGGGCAGTGGACAATGTCATCCCCTCACTGGGGAGCAGAGCCAGGGACTGCTGTCCAGCGAGTCTGACTGAGTCGGAGTGCTCCGTGTTCTGAGTGAGGCAGAGGACGACTGTGTGGAGGTACCTGACCACCTCTGCCCTCCTCCCACATGCGTAGGCGCACATGTGCATACAAAACTACACATACCACACACACAAAGTTGCATACATGCACATACGAAGTTTGAGTGGCTACATTAAAAGGCTAAGGGGCACAGACATGGCTTTCTTTCAGAGCTGGAGCTAGCTGAGGAGAAATTGGAAACTTGGTCCCATCTCTGACGTAAAGTTCACGTGACTGGCGAGACTAGTCCACAGAACACACAGAGCATGTTCATCAAAAGCCCACTTAACTAGAGCTGAGAAACCAAATCCGAAAGGTCAGTCGAACCTGTTTGAAGAGCCCAGCCCCCTGCCTCAGGCAGGGGAGCGATAACACCCCACCCTTCCCCCACCCCACCCCGGGATTCACTGCTCACCTGAAGACACTTAACGGCACTAGAATCGTGAGGAGTCTGGACTGAGGTTCATGGGACTGTCACCCGTGTTCTGCCATTGGTGTCAATGACTTAACTGAGCTGGGTGTCTGTGTCTCCCCAGTATTTCACCCACAGAACAAGATTAGTGTAAGTTCCCAGGGTTTGGGGCAGTTGTTCTGAACTGGCAGCGATGCTAAGTCTCACAGAATCTACAAAGCAGTCCTACGTGGCCAGTAGCCTAATAATGTTTTTAAAGCGGGAAGGCAGGATGAGGAGCAGTTGGATTTCACCCGCCAGTGCAGCCTAGCTGACCTGACTCAGGCTTGCATCTGATTGGCCTGGGAGCTGAGGGCCCGGAAGCAGTAGTAAGAGGTTTCTAGGGAAGGGAGGTTCAGTGTGTGCCCTGTATGTTGATTACTTGCTACGTTATTCCTTCTGCTCTGCCTGATAAATTTAAGAACAGGCACGAAGAGATCTGCTTATCGAGAGGGAGCATTAAGAAATACAGGACAAGGAGCCGTAGGTGTGCATCTGAACAGTGTGTTCAACAAGGATGCTGGCTTGTGAGTGCAGCCCCCGCCGAGGAGGCCAGCCCTGTTCCCAGGCCGATTCCCAGAGCTGGCTTCCAAGAGGCCCTTTATAGTTGTTCTAACCTGATTTCACCTGAATGAAGCAGTGGAGAGGGGAGAGGAGGTTGGCGTGAGGAGGCGCACTGAGTCACCGCCCCCACCTTAGGCCCAGAATAGCCTCGCCAAGGATCTTAAAGGTTTTCAGAGCTAGCTGGGGCGAAGCAGGCAGGCTTCAACTGGAGGATTCATCTTGCATTCCGTGGCAGTTTGTTTTGTTTTCCAGGTTAAAAATAAGAAATCCCCCAGTTTGTTGGTATTTAATCTAATCTTTGAGGTAATGTTCACAAGAAAAGGCTACCACCTTCAGGACAGATGGGAAGGGTGTCCAGATCTAGAAGCTGCTCAGAACACTGTTAGCCAGAGTATGTGGGAGGGATGGCTGTGCTGTGCACCAATGACTCTAGTAGTAAGGGAAGTAAATCTATTTCCTCCTCATTCAATATTTATCATTATCGCATCATTCCTTTAAACAGTTTTTGATCAAAGTAATAGTATAGGTAAAACTGAGGTGTCCCCCCCCCCATCTGCCTTCTTTTTTTAACACACGCATGCACGTGTGCACGTGGTGGAAAGAGAGAACGGAGTCCTACAAGCCATTCTCTGACCTCCACTCTAGTGCTGTGGCACACACACACACACACACACACACACACACACTGCAGTTTAAAATGAAGCTGGCTTGAATCAGCTAGCTAAAGGGATCTGCCCAATCTTCGAAGTGACCTGACTCATGATTTACAGAGATTTTTGTTTTAAACAAGTCCCCATGATGTAGCTGTTTGGATGGGTACTCACTGTGTAGCCCAGGCTGGCCTCAGATTTGCTGAGAGCCTCCTGAGTCCTAGGATGACAGGCTAGCCCACCACACTCTGCTTTATGAAGCTTCTTTACACACACAAGCTATGTTCTGAGAATTTAGGATTTTATACGCAAGATCCCAGTCATCCACTGGGTTGGATGAGGCTGCCACAAGGCCCCA